TACTCTCTCCTTTCATAGACGTTGCGTTTCCAGCAATTTATCACAGATAAGTGTCAGGTCCAATCCCAGAATGTGTGGAAATCTATATAAAACAGGGTTATTGAGAAATACATACAGGATCCCTAACTTTTCTTTATTTCTATATTTTCATATTTTTATGTATTATCTTTAAATAGTTGTACAAAGGAATTGCCATTTGGCAAAGTAGTTTATGAATACGATAATTCATATTCACCATCACTTCTTCCTGCATTCTCCCCATTCCTCTTAACCCAATCCCTTCCCTCAATTTTCTTACCTTTGTGGGAGATGCATTGAATTTTATGCCTGAATTTTTATTTTCTTTTGGTCATATATGTTTTGATTTCTAATACTATACTCAATATAAAGTGTTGAATAGTCCCTATTATACCAATGTTTCTTATTTTTACTGCAGTGACCCAGCATAAATATTTTGTTTTAATTTCTAAATGTTTAAGAAATCCCACAAATACAAATATGAGCATTCACATACTCCTGTGCTCAAATTTCCAAATATAACATGATAGTTAAGACAGCTTGTTTTAAGGTAGATAAATCTAAGCAAAGTCATATTTCTAGATACAATAGGGGTTTTAAGATCAAAATTTATTAATAAACACATCTGTTAGACAGTATAAATAATGCATGTGTATATATTTCTTTTAAATAAGTATGTTTTCTGGGTTGTATACATATGTTCATACTACCATTTGTAACATTTTAGTTGAAGAAATAATTTTGTGTAGCATTATTTATATCATTGAAGAAATAATTTTATGTAGCATTATTTATATCATTATACATCTTTCGTTCCGTGTATTGTATTACACAACCACGTTTTCAGCTGCTTGTGTTGAAGACCAGACAGAATAAAGTTAGCAATATTCTTTTTCTAAAAGATAATAAAGTCTGGTGCTAGTGCCTTAATAGCCTGTGATTCTAAGTCAGCTGAGGAAAAAATGTCTATGAGGCTCCATCTCAAGATAGCTATCAAAAAGCCCTGCTGTTGACTCAAGTGGCTAAAGTATCATTAAGCAGTCTGAGGCAATATGAGGCCCTGAGTTTAAGCCTTAACATCAGAAAAGGGAAACAAAAATAGTGTATGAGAGTAGCTCAAATATAAAGTGTTAGCTCAACAGGTTGGAAATCCTGGATCTAATCTCCTGTACTGAAATTAGTAACTGTAAATGTACATATTTCCTTAAACTCACTTATTTATTTACAAAAACATTGAATGAATTTGAAAGACAATTAACAGGAATTTAAAAAGGAGTATGATTATGAAGGTGTTATGAAAATTAAGATGGTTATGAATATTATTATGAAGTCCTTACAAAATGCTAACTGCTTTCATAGATTATGCGTGCCATTATTATATATTTGATAAACAGTATCATATACACTAATATGCTGTTAGCAACCACATTACATAAATGTCAATACTGGTATCTAGAATTCCTAAAGAAAATGTTTATTTTAAATCCTAAAGCCATGTACTTATCAATTTCTAATAATAAAACTAAGTGAATCACTTTTGAGGAACAAATATCTGACTGATTTAAGATTATGTATAATAGTTATTTTTAACTAGAAACATGTCTCAGTAATAATTTAATATAGTTAATTATAATTAAGCAAGTCAAAAAGAAAAAAAGTACGGGAATATAGCAGTTATTTAAGGACTGCTAGTCATGATTTCTTCTTTCTCCTTAACTTTCACCTGGGAATTAACAGGAATACAACCTGTCTTGCTGTGTGTGTGTGTGTGTGTGTGTGTGTGTGTGTGTGTGGTGCTCTTTCTGGCCATTATTTACTTTGTTATTATAAGTGGAGAATTTGCAATTGTCCTTGGTCGCATTTAGATTTTTTCATATTAATTCTCTCCTGACTTGAGAGATGACTGATTCCCCCAAGGTTACATTTTGTGTAGTCAGATCTTAGTTTTAGCTTCTTTTCTTTTTTCTTTTTACAATTAAAGTAAAAAAAATCAACATGTCATAAGATTTACATAGTTGTTTAACATTTTCTTAGTTCTAGAGAACTTTTATTGCAATAAAAAATAAAGGACAAAGGGGAGGAGGAGGAACCAATGCACCAGCAATATACACAAAATAAAATGTTGGAAATGATCTGTACAATTTGGGGGGATTGAAGGTTGGAGGGGAGGGAAAGGAGAAAATTGAGGGAAGAGGTAACAAGTTTGACAAGAAATGTACTTAACCCACCTTGACAATAATAAACAAAGAAGTTAAAAAATAATAAAAAAGAGTCTCCTATTATCCTAACTCAGTGACTGGCCAACTGTGAGCTATTTTCTGCATACAAAGCTTTGTGAACTCTTTGAATAAACATTATAATTCAGAAAGTAGCTTTCTGGTCATGGTTTCTTTCATTCAACGTAATGTTTTTAAGGTTTATTTGTACTGTAGCTTTTATCAAGAAGCTAAATAAGGGGTTGGAGATGTGGTTCAGAGGGTAGAGAGCCAGCCAATGAGTGGTCTTAGACCAAAAAAAGGAGAAAAAAAGGAAGTTAACTAATGTTTGCTTCTTAAACACACTGCTATTTCAAAGTTCAAAGACTACCTTTTCCCAAACTTTATACTAATTGAGAATCTGAGCTTAATTCGGCTATTATTAAACATTATACTACCAACTTTAATTACACAGTGGTGTATTTTCATATAGAATGATGTTTGTAAGTTATTAGAAAAATGCCATTAGAAAATCATATTCATTATACTAAATTGCGTCAAAGTAGTATGTTTTATTTAGATAATTTTAGTCCTTCTTTTGAGATGTCATAAATTTTTGTCAGCCAGAAATAACTTTGCATTATTTTTGTCCATGATTATTTTTATGCTGTAAAGGCAAATCCAAATAGTTACAAAAGATAGTGTTAGAGATGAAAATCTTAAAATATGGGCTACATTAATATATCCTTATTTTCAACACTTGATTTAACAAGGTGACAATATTTGATAAATAAAATTATTGTGAATTTTAACGTGTGTCAAGTTGAACATAATGACTCACTTTTTTCTTGGATATGAGTCTAGAAATGGGATTTGGGACTCATATGGTATTTTTATTCATAGCCATGAAAAATATTTCCAGACAATTTTAGAGAACAGAACACAAATTCTCTTTTCTTTCCTCATTAATTTGTAAGAAACAAGGTTATATAATGTCCAAGTTTTCATATGTCAAGTTAATTTCAACATTGCTCACTTCTTGATACAGAGAATAATGTGTGAAGTTTTTGATTTTTAATTATCTAAGTGCTAATAAAGTTGTTTATCCACATACAAGGAATGACTATAGATCTGTACCCAAGTAATGTGATAATAAGTCAGTTAATAGGGTTGTGATATTTCTCACTGTTATTAGTATTTTTGAACATTAAAGCCTACAGACACCTTGCGATTCTTCTGTGCACAAAATAAAGAGCTCAAAGGCAGAGATATTGCAGAGGAATGATAACTCACAGAGAAAGAAAAAGACAAGTAAAATATTAGGTAAGTAGAGATTGATGACCATTTTACAGAGAGGACTGCTATGGTCAGAAAGGAAGACTAACCTTGTAAAGGTGAGCCACAGTGATTCAAAGGCCATGAGCAGGAGCTCCTTCATCATTTTCTTCTAAAGAGAGAGCAAAACTTGACACAGCAGATCAGAAGTTAATGGACATGACTTAACTTCAAAACCTTTCATTCACATGAACAATATTATCATTCTGTTCTATCCTGCACCTATATAGCCCATAACCACTGTATATCTGTCTACTTTCTGTGCTACCCATAGACACATTGTTATATTATGCTTCTGTTTTGAGATTTTAGTGGTCAGGATTAAAGAAAAGATCAAAATATAGAAGATTGACTGTAATAGTAATTCACCACACACAGTCATTGAAAATATTGTACTTGGCAAATAAAGTGTCATAAATCACTGGTGGTGTTAAGGGGGTATGGTTTTGAGATACTAAATAGAAAATGATTCATGTTTGAGTAACTTGGCTAGTATAGATCCCTAAAATAGTATGATTTGCTCTAGTACATCTTACACCAGATATATCCTAAGATATAAGGTATATTATAGCAAATCTGCCCAAAGTTCGCTTTGTCATTTTTAAATCTTCTAAAAAAATCTTCCCAATAGCTTGCCAAATTAAAAATTTGCAATAACTAGTATATGTCTGGGACAAGAAGAAAAGGTCAAAAGCTATGTACACATGACTAGGTAAGATGAAGTGAAATGAACCCCAATATAGGGACATAAATGTATTTTTTTTCTTTCTTGCTATTGTTTCTAATGTATTTATAAGATATCATGTGATTTTTTTTGTCGATTTGGGGAAGGGAAGGGTAAAAACAAAATGTTTAAATAGGGATACAGGTTGACCCATTGCAACAATGAGATGTAGAAGGCACTATGTTGAAAAAGGAACTTTACAATTTAGGTGGAGGGGGAGTGTACTTGGGAAGGTGGGAGAGAAGGGATGGGAAGGGGAAACAAAGGAGGAGGCGACAATGCTTGATAAGAAATGTACTTATTACCTTGCTCATGTAACTGTAACCCCTCTGTACAGTATTTTCACAATAAAAAACATTTTTAAAAAAGAAATAATTTGGAGGTGGAAGAGGGGGGAATCCTAAATTCTCTGTCACCATAGGCTGCATACCAAGGTCCTGCCCCAAGAAAGGGCAAAAGGAATGAAGGTTAAAGTTAATGCAGTCAATTCTATTTTGTACTTCAGCTTTTTTTTCCAAGGAGAAATTTACATATTTGTCATAATACATGTTGGAATGTGACAAGACTGGAGAACTATGACATGCTTTTTTTACTATTGGACATTAATTATACAAATACTTATATCATTAAAATAAAGCATCTGAGATAGTTTTGTTTTTCTTATAAAATTTTAGAAAGAAAAGGTTAACTAGGAGCATTTGAGAAAAGTAGATGCTCAATATAAATACTTAAAAACAACATTTATTCCTCAGCTTTAACACAGCTTCTTTCACATCCTTGTTCCTTAGGCTGTAAATCAGAGGGTTCAGCATGGGTATCACAAGGGTGTAAAACAAAGAGGTCATTTTGTCTTGATCTAGGGAGTAGGAGGAACTCGGTCGGAAATACATGAAGAGCACAGTTCCCTGGAAAATCGCCACTGCTGTTAAGTGGGAAGCACAGGTGGAGAAAGCTTTGAACCTGCCTTCAGCAGAGCGGATCTTGATCACAGATAAGATGATGTAACAGTAAGAGATGAGGACTCCTAAGATAGTGCTCAGTTCAATGAAACCAAAAATGATGAATATTGCTAACTCATTGACTTGTGTATCTGAACAAGACAGTACTAAGATGGGAGGGATATCACAAAAGAAATGGTCGATCTCATTGGACCCACAGAAGCACAAGTGGAATGTTAAGGTAGTATGTATCAGGGCATCTGCCACTCCCACCAGGTAAACTCCAGCCACGAGCAAGGTGCACACCCTACTGGACATATTCACTGCATAGAGCAGGGGATTGCTGATGGCTTTGTATCGATCAAAGGCCATCACTGCCAGCAGCATGCACTCAGAATCTACAAAGGTACAGTCAATAAAGAACTGCAGAGCACAGCCCAGGAAAGGAATTGATTTGTTCTTGCCAAATATGTCCACCAGCATCTTGGGCCCAATGGCTGTGGAGTAGCAGAGGTCACAGAAGGAGAGGTGGCTGAGGAAGAAGTACATGGGTGTGTGGAGCTGGGAGTCCACTCGGATCAAAGTGATCATCCCGAGGTTTCCAAGAAGATTGATGATGTAGACAAGTAAAAACACAACAAACAGAATCATTTTGACCTCAGGCTGATTGGAAATTCCCATTAGAATGAAGTCAGTCAATGTGGAACAATTTCCCTTGTCCATTCTTCTTTATCTTGCCTACACTTCTGAGAGAATGGTTGAGAAAATAATAGGTTTATATTTTTCATGTCTACCAAAATAAAACTGTGTCTGTAACCAGAGTGCATGTTGTGTCTTGTCATTTTTTGTTAATGATTACTCATCTGTATGACATTTGAATAAACATTGCTATCCACTTAAACATTTTTTAAATAATAAATTTCCCAGACCAGCAGCTGAGAAACTTTGATTGAGACCTCCTGCGATTATGGAGTAATTGATTTTTTAAATTTCTTGTCTTTTGCAAATTCCCTAATTTGAGTGACTTATGTAGACTTGGGTAAACTGAAGTTTTAGGTAATCTTCAAACTAATATGAAAAAAACACAAATAGAAAAGGTCAAGGTTATATAATAGTATTCTGTATTGCTATGTGTCAGGGTGTTTGTAATGACACCCAAAGGATTGTATGATTTTTATCAAAACTTCATAATCATTTAAAAAACTTTTGTATTATTTTAGAAGCATATAGTCCATCACTGACTATTAAAGATAATAGTTACTCAGACCTCTTATTTTTATTTGTCTTCTTTAATATTTGATACAGGTTGAAATGAGTTTTATCAACTTTCTATATTTTTCACAATAATCATTACCTCTTTGTAGAAGCGTTTTTGTGCCCACGGAGGTTTTTTCTTTTTTCTGACCAAACACGAATGCTATAAAGAAACACAATAAAGGTTTTTTATTTATCACATATTTGCATCAAAATCAATTTTAAATAGTCTTACATTAAACATTTTTAAATGAGAGGACAATAATTTTTTTTGGGGGGGGGTCCGGTCGTGGGCCTAAAACTCTGGGCCTGGGCACTGTCCCTCAGCTCTTCAGCTCAAGGCTAGCGCTCTACCACTTGAGCCACAGCACCACTTCCAGGTTTTTCTGCTTATGTGGTGCTGAGGAATCGAACCCAGGGCCTCATGCATGCAAGGCAAGCGCTCTACCACTGAGCCACCTTCCCAGCCAGACAATAAATATTTTTAAATATACACGTTTCTCTTCATTTACATGTGTCTCATATTTCTATTTATTCATGAAAATTAGATGAAAATTTAAAAGTTGTTAAAAATTGTTCAAATTATCTGTGTAAATTAGATGACAATTATTAAGAAAATTAGAATGTGAATGACAGATATTTGTCAGTGCTTCTTAGACATAACAAAGTTCTTTCTGGTGACTCAAATAAAATTGAATCTGAGTATTCTTACAAAGTCATGAGCTGATTATGTTATTTAACATCAAACAGCAATCCCATTAAATTTATATGTGCCCATCCAATTAAACTAATTAATTAAAGAAATATAAAGACTTTCTATAATACTAGAGAAAATAAAAAATAATTGAAGTTTACTTTTTGGATATTATTAAATTGAGTCAGACTCTTCCATTTCAGATAGAAAAACAATATCCATTTCAACGTGATTATTAAATTCACCGCAGAAAACAGTAGTTGATTTTGAAATTTCTCAGTTCTTAAGTAATTTTCTACATTTTTGTCTTGGTCAGGTTCCTACCTGTGATGGCCAGTCTTTGGTTAGTGAACATGAGGCAGGGAACATTTTATTTTACCAGGTTTCATTTGGGACTTGAACCTCTGAAGCAATTTCCCTCAGGCCTTGTTGTGATTAATTAAATTATTGTGCCTATATTGTCTTCTGCAAATATGAGACAATTTTAGAAAGTTGAACATCTTCATGCTTACAACCAAATTAATCCAGATGACAAAGAAAGTGGTTAATTACTTTCCTGACTATAAGATAAAAATCAAATTCCCTTCTCTAATTAAGGCAGAAATTTTGTTAAGTTCTAAATCTGCTCATTTAGTCATTTTCAACCCCTTCCTGTGGTCCATTTATACTTTCATTTTTAAATCTTGTCCATCAACATCTGTGAATAGAATTGGTTCATTTTATATAGGATATAATAAATATACTAAGTATTTGTCATTTAAAAATGAATACGCCATTTGTTTGTAGTTCATTCGTCAACTTGTGCAGTCAATGTCATGATCTAATTCCAGAACATTTTTATTCTCCTACTCAAGAAATCCTCATCTATTCTCAGGGACATTCCTTTATCTTCCCCTTAATATTATTTGAAAACAATAATATATTTCTGAGGCTATGTACAACACACACAGAGAAGAATATACAATAAAATATATGGCCTTCTCTAACAGTCATCTTCATTTGCATGAAAACATATAAAGTTTGCCTCTGCTGTGATTGAATGTAATCAGAAAATTCTTCTACAACTAAATGATATTTCTTTATATACATCTCCACACACATATACATATGTATGTGTATGTATATATATGTATATATATACATATATATATATATATATATAAAATCATTTGATTGCCAGTATGGTTTACTACTACTACTGTTTGGCTAGTATAAATGACAATGGCACATTTTTTTTCTTCTCATATTATAAATAAAATTATGCCTAATCACATTATACACATGAAGGTCAATGGAAATATGAACCATGTTATCTAACATGTAGAAATGTTCTATTGAATTTTTCTGTTCTGCTATAATATTTTTCAATCCTATGCCTTTTGTCTAGTACTCTTTAAAAAATAATTGTTCTGGGGCTGGGAAGGTAGCTCAGAGGTAGAGAGCTTGCATGAGGCCCAGGGTTTGATTCCTCATGACCACATAAGCAGAAAAGCCCGAAGTGACACGGTAGCTCAAGTGGTAGAGTACTCGCCTTGAGCTGAAGAGCGGAGGTGCAGTGCCCAGGCCCAGAGTTCAGGCCCCACGACCGACAAAAATAAATAATTAAATAAATAAATGAATGAATAAATGAATAAAATTCCTTTTTATTTTTCTTCTTTGAATTTTCAACTTCTTGTATCAATTTCATGCCATCTGTGATTTTTTTATTAGTAGTTTAACTTCTCTTAACAGGTGAATCTCATTTCTCCATTTTTTGGAGACAATTTTCTAGAGATTTATCTTTTCTATAAAGAATGTGTTTCTACATATCTTCATATGCAAAAATATTTTTATTATTTTCTAGGCATGAATAAGACACATATCTTTCTCTCAGCAATAATAGCCTCATGTAGAAGGAAACAATCTATCTAGTCTGAGATTTTTAGATGCTGCACAAATTCGTTTGGCCAAACTTCTATATTTGATTTTGGTGGATCCCAGAATTGTAGGATCTGACGTATTTTGTAAGTATCTGAAGAACGACAAAGATGAACCAGACACTAGCTGTAGAGGAATTTTTTTAAATCCTATTCTATATTCATCATGAGGCTGAGATTTACTGACACACTCTGAGGAAGGTTGGGGAGGAGAGTATCTAGGAAATTGTTTACACTCACATGTGGGCTGCATTCTCCAGTCCTATAATGATGCGTGCTACAAGAGAGAATATCACAAATCCTCTGTCCTAGAATCATCAAGGACTTCAAAGCCACAGAAGCCCTTAGAGGTATGTCATGTTAAAGGAGACAAACCCTTACATGAGAGTAATGAAAGCTGTGATACTTGGTGTAGGCCCAAGTTTCTATCAGAAATAGTGGGAAAACATCAATCAACCACTGAGGAGAACAGATACTTACAAGTATCAGGTTCTGGGAAGGCCTGCATTTTTTTTTTGTTGGTCATGGGGCTTGAACTCAGGGCCTGAGCACTGTCCCTGCTCTTTTGCTCAAAGATAGCACTATATCAGTTGAGTCACAGTGCCACTTCCACCTTTTCCTGTGAATTTGGTACTGAGGATTCGAACACAGGGCTTCATGTATATGAGGCAAGCACTCTAAAACTAAGCCACATTCCCAGCACAATGCCAGTATTTTAAAGTCCATTTAGTTTACAAATGCAAATTCTGTAGGAAACCAATGCATCCAAAAAATCACTAACTGGGAGCTGGGAAGTTGGCTCAGTGGTAGAGTGTTTGCCTTGCATGCATGAGGCCCTGTACCTCAGTACCATATAAGCAGAAATACCAGAATTAGTGCTGTGGCCCAAGTGGTAGAGCGCTAGCCTTGAGCTGAAGAGCTGAGGGACAGTGCCCAGGTCCAGAGTTCAGCCCCCAAAAAGTCACTAATTGTGTAAGCTATAATCCCCTTCCAGAGATTAAAAAAGTATGACCTTCATGTCTCCAGTTGATTTTTTGCAATGTGCCACATGAGTATAGCCCAGGACATTTATAGGAGTATTAAAATATCCTATTTGGACATTCTACTGGTCTCAGTCACTTGCAATAGATACTAGTAACTTTTTGATTAATACATATCTTGGTGTCATTATCTTCAGTTTTCTGTACATGACTATTTACACCTTTCCCCATAGGTCATTGCTTTTTAGCCATTATTTATAAAGAACCTTTCCTTCTCTTCCTTTTGTTCTTCCTTTAATTCTATGATGTAAATAAGTGCTAACAGTCTAATTGATGTCATATGTATTCCATAGAATACCCTTATATTATTTTCTATTTATAATCCTTGCATGGATATTTCCACACAGCCTGCCTCTATGTTGACAGATTATTTTTTCTTGATCTGTTCTGTTATTGCTGTAATCTATTCTGATTTTTCTTTCATTCTTTGTATTTGTCATCTGTTGTATTTGACATATTTTGAAATTACTCATTGATAAAATATTTAGAAATCATGACAGAAATGCTCAGAAGAGTTGACCCATTTGTGAGTGTCTTAAAATACACTCTTTGAATTTTAAAGCAACTATTTTGAGCTTTAAAAATTGCACTTTCAAACCTTTAATTCTAATGTGTTTTTAATTGTATTTGTGTAATTTAATTGTGCTTTTAATTGTATTTAGATATCAGTAGTAAATTTTAATGTTTGTCTTGGTTGATGATTGCTTCAGTCTACTTTGTGTTTTTACAGTTGATAATGATCTTTTCTTTACTGTATGTTTTGACAAATAGTCAAATCAGAGACCTCTTGCTTTGACTGTTTCTTCAGTACAGGTTTATGGTTATCATTAGATTTCTCGTTTGACTTGTCCAGAAAATTATTTCAATTGTAATTCAAGTGTATTTTGTCTGGTCCATCAATAAGTTAGTACCTTTGATTTCAGAACTATGGGAGAATAGACTCAGAACTTGAACTCTGGACCTGGGCCTGGGCTTTGTCCCTGAGTTCTTCAGCTCATGGCTAGCACTCTACCACTTGAGCTACAGCACCACTTCAGGTTTACTGGTGGTTTATTGGAGATAAGAGTCTCATGGACTTTCCCACCAAGGCTGACTTTGAACCTTGATCCTCAAGTATCAGTCTCCTGAGTAGCTAGGATTACAGGTGTGAGCCACTGGCTCCCAACCATTCCATGCTTTTTTGTTTGTTTATTTTTCTTTTTCTTTTCTGTTTTTTTATTGTGAAAATACTGTACAGAGGGGTTACAATTACACGGGCAAGATAGTGAGTACATTTCTTATCAAGCATTGTAGCCTCCTCCTTTGTTTACCCTTCCCATCCCTTCCCAGCCTCCCCCCGACCCCCATCCCCCCACCCAATCCTCCCCACCTCCCCCACCAAAGTTGTAAAGTTCAATTTTCAACATGACAACTTGTACTTCTCATTGTTTTGGTTCTTTTGGATTCTGTTCTACACTGCTATCTGACCTTTTATGTTGAAGAGGAAGCTCTTGGTCTGTTTGATTTTCCTCCTATTTCTGTTTCTGACATTCCTATACTATGTAACTTCCCATAAAGTTATTATTGACAACTCCATATACTGTCTTTCATCCATAGGCCTGAAGCTCTTCGGATCATCTCTGAATGGATATGTCCTTTCTGCAGTCTCTACCGATAATTATAAAGATGGAAAAACTAACATCATAATCTCATCAAAACAAAGGTTTGACAAGACCAATCTGAGTGACAGTTTAGGTAGATAAATGAGCATAGCATTCCAAAACTCTTTGGAAGGGAGGTAAAGGGAAGAAAATAGTAATAATTACAACTGTAGCCTGAGATGAGTCACTTAAGCAAGGAATTGATTGGGATTAAGCTGATTTACTAAATGGGATAGCCTTGTAGCTGTTGGAATACTCTCTGATTTCAGGTACTTATATATTAAGTCCTCTCTTTCCTAGAAACAAGTACTGATGCCAAATATTAAATATGGTTTCAGTGACTCCACCAGCATTTTTAAAACAATTTATAAGTACTCAGTACTAAAAATTAATGTAACATTTTTGAATTTCCATGTGCTTTACAAAAATAATTTGGGGGGCTGGGAAGGTGGCTCAGTGGTAGAGCACATGCCTTGCATGCCAAAGGCCCTGGGTTCAATTCCTCAGCACCACATAAGCAGAAAAAGCTGGAAGTGGCGCTATGGCTCAAGTGGTAGAGCTCTATCCTTGAGCTGAAGAGCTGAGGGACAGTGCCCAGGTACAGAGTTCAGGCCCCATGACTAACAACAACAACAAAAAAAAAACAGACAAACAAAAATAATTTGGATGGAGGGTCATACCTTTAGATATTATTGAATTATTTACAAAGAGTTAGTTGAACTAACCCTCCAAACAAGAAGAGACCTTGTTAAGGCTTCACGCATGATTAAAAGCAGCCCCAGCTGGGCGCGGGTGGCTCAGGCCTGTAATCCTAGCTATTTAGATGTCAAGATTGCGGTTCAAAGCCAGCACAGGAAGGAATGTCCATGAGTCTCTTATCTCCAGTTAACAGAGCACTAGCCTTGAGCTGAACATTTCAAGGACAGTTCCCAGGCCCACAGTTCAAGCCCCACAACCGCCACCCTCCTCAAATAAAAGAAAGAAAAGCAGCCCCAATATTACTGAGACTGAAAATTATCTTTTGAAATTAACACTGACAGCACAACAACAATAATTACCAATGAGTCTGTGAAAAGAAATCCCAACGGAAACAACTCTGTTCACTATTCCCGGGACAATCCTTGACAAGAAGAGTGTTTGCAATCTTGATTATTAGGTCCCCAGTGACAGAAGAATGCAGGTAAAAGCCCTTGGTTCTTCTGATAAAATTATTCTAGGTAAATGCAAATCATTTTCTGCATTGGTAAGTAACCGGTGTGGGAGTTAGGTGGCTTTCACAGGGTGAAGAATATGTTTTTGTGGATCTTAGAGCAAAAATTATGGATTGAGTTCCCAGTAGGTGGTGAAAGACATTTATCATTTACTGTGGCATCCACAAGCCCATACATCTCCAATCACTTTCTGATAGACATTCCACAGGAATTGTATCTGAGCTATATTTCTTGAAATATGCTGTTTGTCACAAGTGAGAAGGTTCACAGTGCTGCCAACTTGATAGTTTGAATTTATTTTATAACTTGATTCTCTTCTATATTTGGGAAGAAGTTAGTGAATCATGGTTTAAAGAAAATCTTTGGTTAATGCTCCCTTTAAGAGATTTGCATTATCTTCTGCCTTCTCTTCCCTTTATATAGCCTTTTCTTACACTGTCACAAAGAATGATCAATTTTAAGTTTGCAAGCATGTATATTCTGCTTTTTACAGGAAACATGGAAGTCCTTTCTTCATGTTATCATCAGCCTCAGGCAGCTCAGACATCTGAGAGTAGGGACACTGTTAATATTCCAACAGCCTTATGCTTCTTCTCAATATCTTGATTTAGGAGACATCTGACATCGAGTCATAACTTGTCAACTACTACCTTCATGGGCTTTGAATATCAATCTATGCATCAATGTTATAATACAAAATAAGGAATTAATAATAGAAAGTCTGATTAGTCTTGAAATTTTGAAGTCAGGCTTCGATTCTAATCGTGGTTCTGTCACATTCTAATTGTGTCCAATTCTGTGTTTCCTAATGTCCTAACCTATAAGGAAAAGGTGATAATGGTAATAATACTATCAAAATTTTATCTTCTCTGATGACAGCTAAGTGACTTGCAAAGTATTTGTCTAGAATATCATGTTTCACACAATATCATATAAAGGGGGAGCTACTATTTTAAAAACTTTGACAGATGACTTCAATTATAAGGTAATATTAGGTAAAATGCTTAACAATGAAAAGTAATGTTTTTATTAACAAAAAAGATGTCATTCTCTCCACAAAAATGACACTGGAAAGATAGTCAAGTAAATAAATGGATGAATGAGTTTATAATTCACTTGAGTTAATCTACACAGAGACGCTGTTTCCTATAAACTTAAATTTATATTTAATTACACAAATGAAAGGAATACTGACTCTAAGGAAGTGGCATTATCAAAATGGGAATAAATTAACTAATCCCCATTCTGATGTAATGGAGATCCCTTTTCTATTATTAAGCAATCAATCATGAGAGCACCTTGAGCTAAGTATTCTAATCATCACCATTGTGTGCTTGAATGTGGCTGCATCACTGAGAGTTTGAAAGATTCAATAAGCCAAAGTCTGACCATTGACCTTCGTATATTTTTATATACATGGAAGCACATTCATAAAACATTAAATTATTATTCCTGTTTTTCTAAGAAACCAACCTAACATAGCTTTATTTCCTTAGTTATTTTTATGTATTTCTACTTCAGAAAGTGTGGATGATAGACGACTCAGACTCAACTGACTTGTACTGTCATAAAACAAATTTCAGTCGTTTTTATTTGTTCTTCATTAGTAAAGATATCATTTCATTTGGTTTAGTTGTAACTCAGAATTAAATGTTAAGTGAATGTTACTCAACAGTCAATTAATGGACAGTGAGTATTTTCTACAAGCTAAGGGTAGAAAAATAAATGATAATTTTGTCAGGTATATTTAGTATGCAAGCAGGATTTATGAAATTATCCTCATTTACTTCCTACTGAAATGACACCTGGAGCTTATATTTGCAAAAATTTGTTTGTAGTCTACAAGTACCACCTGTCCTGTTTTATATCTAACAATGTGAATAATTATATATTTATGTATCAAGTATTTTGTTTGCCCACTCCGTTATTGAGCAATAGATCACACTACTTTATATCAAGTCTTGGAATGAAAAAGAAAGTTGTGCTAACATTATCATTACAATGCTGTTGTACACAGATATACAGACACACACATATATTATCTTCCTTTAATCCTCTATGTCAGATGTTTTGTGTTTGTGGTACAAGACTGTTGCCCAAATCATTAAATGTCCCAAGCAACACTATCCAGTGAGAGAAACAATTATTAGTCAAATAAGTCAAACCAGACACACAACCATGAAATCTGATTGCAACTATCTTCTAAAATCTCTCTCTCTCTCTTTCTCTCTCTTTCTCCTATTTGCATGAAGTTTAAATATAGGGACTTTAGGTCTTTGCTTATTTCAAAAACAATGAAATAACCTTCTATCTAATCATTATCTTTTTATTATCGACATAACATTTTAGGACACCAGAATCCTCCCGGAGGAAAACTGTGCATGACATGACATTTACAGCTGGAAACTACACCTTGGTCACGGAATTTATCCTGTTAGGTTTTCCATCATGCCCTGCGCTTCAGGTGGTTTTCTTCCTGGTGTTTCTCACCCTGTACGGCATGATCCTAGTAGGGAACCTGGGACTGATGTTCCTAATTAGAACGGACCCTCGCCTGCAGACTCCCATGTATTTTTTCCTCAGCAACCTCTCCTTCGTAGACCTTTGCTATTCCTCGGTCATTGTCCCCAAAATGCTCACCAATTTCCTCTCGTCGACCAAATCTATTTCCTATTATGGATGTGCCTTGCAGTTTTATTTTTTCTGCGCGTTTGCAGACACAGAATCCTTTATCTTAGCTGCCATGGCATATGACCGCTACGTGGCCATCTGTAACCCCTTACTGTACACCGTGGTGATGTCTCGGGGCCTCTGCATACGGTTGATTGCCTTGTCATACCTTGGAGGCAACATGAGCTCCCTGGTCCACACGTCTTTTGCCTTTATCTTGAAATACTGTGACAAAAATGTCATTAATCATTTCTTCTGTGACCTCCCTCCCTTACTTAAGCTGTCCTGCTCAGACACCTCGGTTAACGAGTGGCTCCTCTCCACATATGGGAGTTCCGTGGAAATCACCTGCTTCATCATCATCATCATCTCCTACACGTTCATTCTCCTCTCGGTCCTAAAGATCCGCTCTACCAGCGGGAGGAAGAAAACCTTCTCCACCTGTGCCTCGCACCTGACTTCTGTGGCCATCTATCAGGGCACTTTGCTCTTCATTTACTCCAGGCCCAGCTCCCTGTATTCCCCCAACACCGATAAAATCATCTCAGTCTTCTACACCATTTTCATCCCAGTGCTGAATCCGTTGATTTACAGCTTGAGAAATAGAGACGTGAAAGACGCAGCCAAGAAGGCTCTAAAATTTAAGGTAGATTCTTCATGAGAAGTTACCTAGTGAGGATTCATCTGATTCTCCAATTACAAACTCTTGAAACTGGGATTTTATAACAGCTTGAACAGCAAATACACAGCTACCCAAACCAGACAGTTTATCAGACATGGATGTTGTGTTTTTTTTACTACACCTAACTATGCTTTTTGCCAACACATAAATAAACATTAAAAATGTCAAAAAAAAAAAAACAACTAAAGATTTTGTGGTGTTTAGTAGTTCTTTCTTTGCTAGCTGGGAGAGATGTTTGTCTAAATAGATTAGATCATGGTATCTTAAGGGCTAAGTAAATACTCTAGAAAATGTTCAAGTGTTCATACATATGTGGAATGAAACACATAGTTGTATATTACAAGATAAAGAAGACAATTAGATTACCTTAGTTTATATAGTAAGTATTTGCCTGGATAATGAGTGTCACAATAGGGATATTTCTTATTCTTTTATTTCAGTCAATCTTTAAAAGAATAGAGAGTATTCTATTTTTTAAGTGATAGCAGGGTCAATACAATTACATATTGTGAATAATGCCTGGATACTTTACACAGTTACTTTCATTATACATAGTTTACAACATTGTATAGCATTTAAAAGGTATGCTGCACAATAAGTTGGTGATAGGCAAGTATATTTGGAAATAAAACTCAATTTTAAAGTTAGTTTAGTAATTTTGATCATTTTGTATAATCAGTTCCTTCAAATTGTTTACAGAACATTTCTTTAAAAGAGAATAGGAATACAAGTTAACTATAATAAAAGATAATTGCATTTTTTCCTTTATTCTTATTTTAATAACCCAAGTATTTATGAAAAGATGGACATCCTTTTCCAGCATCTCAGAAACAGAAGGAGCTACTAATGAGTCTTTTCCTACCTATGTCTTATGGTAAAGCATAACATAGGGACTAGTATTAGAAGACTGAATTTGGAGTTTGTATAGTCTTCCAAAATGTACTCCCCAGAAGAAATACTCTTTGGGTACATAATTATTCTTTCATTACAATAAATATTTAAAAGCTTTTTGCTGGAAATACCAGTGTAAATGTATCCACAGTGCAATTGTTAAAAATCTATGAAATAAAACAAAGATCACTTTGGGGTCTCTTTTATTTTTTAATTGTTATTATAAAGGTGATGTACAAAGGGGTTACAGTTACATGAGTGAGGTGATACATGCATTTCTTTTTGAATAGTTTCACCTCTTCTCTCTGTGTTACTTTAAATTAACCTCAGAATCTTTTCTGGAAATATTCTCTTGAATGTTTCCTTTGATAGAAAGTGAGCACTATCCCCCTGAACTACAAAAAAAATATATAACTATGAAATTTAATTTCATCGTTCTCAACCCAGGTTGTAGACAATAACACAGAGCAGGTTAGTTGTGATCTGTCTGAATACAGATTTGAATCATTACATCTCAGTATCAGTACACAGCACACAGAAATCTTTTTCTATATTACAGTCATTTAGTACTCAAAGTATCATATCACTAAATGTGAGAGAACTTATCAGAAAATAGAACTGCTTCCAAGTAAGAGATTAATCTATCTAGTGTTTTTAAAGGTCAATAGGTGATGCCAATGGAATATTTGGACTTAGTTTAGACCAATGATCTATGCAATATCTGCGCTGCTTTCTTACTAGATTCCCCCAGAGTTGCTATCATCGGCTGAGCTGCTAGTTAGCTTGAAATACTAATTCTACAGATAATATTCTGTATTTATCCCCTCAGGTTTTTTACTAGCCTCAATAGGCTAGTAAACTTCCAATATACCTCAACTAGTAAAGACGAATTCATGTTACATATTTAATGCAATCAGAATTTTCTGAAACCTCCACTTTATCCATAATTGTCACTCCTTAGTAAGTAATGTGTGTGTGTGTGGGTGGGTGGGTGTGGGTGTGTGCACGTGCACATTGAGATTGAATCATGACTTGGAAAAGAGAATGTTGGATGAAAGACATCAAAATAGGTTGCATCTATGAATGGAGATAGAACAATGAAACTCCCAGAATGCTATTGAATAATAGGATTAGTGGAGGCATCAAATATGATGAGTGAAAATGTATATTTCTAGGTTACACAATATAATTATACAAATTTAAGAAAGAATTTTGAAAGTAGAAAAGGAAAGGGGAATTAGTACAGACAAAAGATCTATAATAAATATATCAGGAAATTTGTAATCAGAAATTTTGTGGGGAAGACATAATTGAAATGATACATTTGGAATTCTGAATGAATAAAAACAGTCAATATATGAGAACCAGCAATAAAGTCTTTTTAAAAATGGAGTAGTTTTAAAGACCATTATGGATTAAAAAACACAAGAGTTAACAATCATACCACTCTCTCTCACACACACACACAAAAACCACAATATTATTTTCTGAATTCTTCCTTTGTCTTTCTTAATTATCTGTAAATAGTTACACAAAGGAATTGTCATTCAACAAAGCAATTTATAAAAACAGTGCATCTTAATCCTTGTCATCCATTTCAATATTCTTACCCATCCTTCCCAACCCATCCCTTCTCACACTTTTACTTTTGTAGGTTACACATTAGACTATTGATTGCATTGTTCCAGAATTCTTCTTTTAATTTGTCTACCCCTCTTCCCTTGACAATTTTTTAAGAACTGAAATCATGATCAAATTAAATTGGTAAAATATAGTCTGCATATTCCATTAAAGTTAAATTGTTATCAGAGTAAGCCGTTTGTGCGAACAGAAAGTTTTCTGTCTCAGAATAATAAGCAAAAACAATGTACTGGTTATATGCATCAAAAAGTGAAGATTCAAATATCAACAATCACACACCAAAAGAGGAATGGATCTTTATACAACCATAAAATCAAAAATCAATAAAATTGCGTTTATAAATTCTTGTCTGTTAATAATTACTTTGAATGTATAAAGATTAAATTTTTATGTGAAAGGGACACAGTAGCTTGCACAGATAATCATAATGACCAAAAAGGACAATCCTAGACAGAAAGAGAAGATATCCAACACAAAGAAAAAAACAAATGAAAACGAACATAGTTACACTTGTTTATATCAGTAATAATAGACTTTTAATCAAATTTGTCAAAAGATATAAAATAACCATTTTATAATGATAAAGGAAGGGTGTATAACTATTTTAAATTCATATACAGCTAAACCCTGAAAGTGCTAAAGATATAAAGGCACAGTAAAAAAAAATAAGTCAGATATTATAGTTGGGAATTTCAATGCTCTTCTTTAAACATGAGAAATATCAGCCAAATAGAAAAATGAAGGAAACATTGGACTTGAACTGTACTTTAAACCAAGTTAACCTTCCATACAAACATAATGTATCAGCAAATAACTTCAGAATGATATTTTTCTCAAGGCCAGATCAAATACTAGACCCTAAGACAAGAGTTAGCTAATCTCAAATCATTAGAATAATGTCTAATGTTTCTGTCTATAATGTTATGAATCAGGAAATCAGTAATAGAATGGAAGATCATATAAAATTAACAATTTGTAGAACTTTTTATTTATTTAATTTTTTGATTATCTTCCTCATTTTTTTTAAATTGGTATTATGAATATGAAGTACAGACAGCTTACCAATTCATAAGTCACTAATGAGTACATTTTTATTTTTGGTCAGCTGTGGGGGCTTGAAGTGTTAGGATTCCTAGGTGCTGTCTCTGAGCTCTTTAGCTCAAAAGGCTAATGCTCTATCACGTCGAGCCATAGCCCCAATTCTGGTTTTCTGATGATTAATTGAAGATAAGAGTCTCTGGGGGGCTTGTTCCCAGGGTTACTTTGACCTTCAATCCTCATATCTGAGCCTTATGAGTAGCTAGGATAACAGGTATAAGTCAACAGGGCAAAGCTTGAGTACATTTCTTTCTCTTGATTTTTTAATTTTACTGTGAAGGTGATGTACAAAGTGGTCCAGTTACATAAGTAAGGCAATGAGTTCATTTCTTGTTGAACTTGTTACCCCCTCCCTAATGAGGTATTCACATCATACAAGTATTAAATTTCAAGGTTCAAGGCTCCCCATTCCCAGTTGTATAGATCACTTTTGTAGAATTTAAATGATATTCTCTTACAAAAATGAGGCAAAAGAAAAATAGAAAATTGGACTTCTACTTTGAAGAAAGGAGATTAAACTGTAACTCAACAAATATATTAAACTTTTATTCCAGCAATCTTCCAGCAACAGTTATAGTAAAATAATTTATTAAAGTTATGAGATTTTCACAAGAGGAAATTCAAGCCCAGAAATATAATTATTCTCACAAAACTCCTGAGGGAAATTACTTCAAAATAAAACTCCCAAAGGATATTTGTAAAAAATAAAATGCTAGCACTATAGTATTAAGTCATCACTGAAGAACTTATGTCAGGTAGGTTACTGAATCTCCAGATTAAAAATCACAGGGAAAAATATAAAAATATATCTTTACAGAAAAAAAAGAAAAAGTTATCAATGATATCTATATGCCTACCTAGACAACCAGTGAAATATATTTCTGTGTATCATGACTAAAAATGACACTTGGATGCAGAGTGACAGAACCTACTATTATCTCTAGCATAACATTTTAATATTCTACGCTAGACTAGTTATATAGGAAAGCCTTTACTGTTTTACATTAATCCTGTATATTTATAAATTTAAGGGATTGAAAGTATTATTACAAAATATTCAATGACCATATTGTAGATAATAATGTATGTTAATAAATCTCCTTGTGAGAAACACACTACACTAACTCAATGTAAAATCCCACAAACATTCTAGTTGTCATTTGAACCAATAGCCATGCATGCCTACACATACATGCAACATGCACACAAATTCACACATATACAAGAAGGAGAAAACACATATTCAGAAAGTTCATTGGCTTTCATCAGAACTCAATTTTTTGGCGTTTCTTTTTTTGTTGTTTTTATAAGTTTTTTATTGTGAAAGTACCATGCAGAGGGGTTACAAT